TTTTTGAGAAGAAGATTCCCCAACCATCACATTAAATGAATACGAATGTTAAAAAGGCAATTTATATCAAATAGTGAAAAAAAACATTTATAAATGAACTCAGCTTGAGATTCACATACATTGTATTTTTGATATATGAAATCCATAAATTAAAGGGCATTGATCCCCTATTCAAATCTCTCCTATCTTTCTATCCCGATTCATTCTTCTATCATAGTTAGAGAAATTTATTAACAATCAATCAAATTCAAAAACATTTTACATATCAAATGGTGGAAAAACACTTAAAAATAAATTAGCATGGGATTGACATACAAGACAAAGATGTTCTATTTGGATCTCTTCTATCCTTCTGTTTTAAGTCACTTCTCTATTACAGTTAAAGAAATCTATCACGTAATACAAAGATTACTTGAGATAAATGGACAAAGAAAGATCGTGACACATTTGATCATACCCAATTAGTAATTAAGACCAAAAACAATTAACTAGGGATGGTGTATCTGGGCTAATTTGTCTTACTAAGTAATTATTTTACTAGTTCTCAATCTCCATCTACATCGAATTTGCTAATTGATTATATGCAAAAGATTGCTTCTATTGGAAAAAAGAAACATCGCTTCCTTTATTTTATGGGTCATGTTTTTCAAAATGCTTTTGAAAAAATTGATTTTTCATTCAAGTTTTTCTGATGTATGTATATACTGTTTTATTTATTTATTTATTATTATTATATTTTTTTTTTTGGGGGTTGAGAGCTATACTTTGTCATGTTTTTAGTCAATAATTAACGAGTGTCTTCTGCACACCAAATATATGTGTGTGTTATATTTTTTACCAGTTTAAAAAAGCTTCTAATTGATTTGAGATTATTTTTTAAAAATTATCTGTAAATTTTCAAAATAATTTTCATGGGTAGGTTTACTTGAGATAAATTTTCATGTATTTGGTTTTCTGTTTTTTTGTTTTGTTTTTTAATTTAGATTAATGACGACAGCTTGTGGATTTACTTGCACATCGATAAATTAAAACAAGCTAAGCCATGAAATTGACATTTTCAGACCAGGTGTATGTCTAGGTGGCCCCATACGGAAATTCATTGTATTTCACACCCACTTGGTTGCTTGTGTGTTTTTATTTTTATTTTATTGTTACCGAAAACAAAATAATGAAAAGTCCTTATTGTTTTTAATTTATTTTTTCTGAAAGTTTTTAAAAATTTGAAAACTTCTTATTGTTTCTCAAAAAGTGGATTTCTTTTACTAAAGAAAAAATTGAAAATAATTTTGAAAAGGAATAGGCTTTCTCCTGTCTAATAATTGGACTAAAGGATCCAGTTGAGTTGAGAGGGCTGTGGCTAGGAGTGTGCGCGGTGCGATTCGAGCAGTTTGAAAGTAAAATTATAACTTGAATGGCGGATTAGCGGATTGGCGGATTGGCAAATTGCGGTTTGAGCGGTTTTGGACGGATTGGCGAATTGAAGAATATTCTAACAAATAATCAAATTTTTACATAATATATAACACTAATTTATATAATATTTTTCATATATATAATACAAACTATTTTTACATAATATTTTTCATATGTATAACTATTAATTTGTAATAAATTTCACATATTAAATCTTTTTCATACTCGTTTTTACTTTGATATTTCATTATAGGTTGAAAAATATATATTTATTAATTACAGCAAAGCGGAGCGGTTTTGAAGGGGGATTATAAATTTTAAAGTTTAAACCGCGGTTAGCGGATGGAGCGGTACGGATTAATTCGGATCGGTGTAGTTTTAGCGAATTGAGCGGTATTTTGCACAGCCTTAGTTGTGAGCTCATCTGGAGTCCATCTTAGTTCACAATGTCCATTAGGTACATTATTTATGCAAAAAATATTAACTCGATGTAGAAAGCTATATGATTGGATCATATTTGTCTTTAAAAAGATGATCTAGCAAACTCAAAGTTATACTTATCGTCAATTTTTTAGACAAATATAATCTAATCATATGACTTACAAAAATCAATTAACATAATTTTTTTGCATAAGGGATTTAGTTGTGGGACACTAAAAGACAAACGGTTCACCGAAATGGATTCACAACCCCTCACCTAGTCTTTTCCATCCAATTATTGGAGTAGATGAAAACCTATCCTTTTTCAAAAATAATTTGCTTAACAATTTTTTTTACGTAAAAGGCGTATTCAGTGCACAAAACTCCCGTTTAAGCTAGATCTGGGGAAAAGTTGATGTACATAACTTTATCCCCGCAAGTGGAGAGGCTATTTCCGTGACTCGAACCTGTGACCTCTAGATCACCAAGGAGTAGCTTTACCGCTATATCAGGTCCGCCCTTCCTTAACAATTTGTTTTACATAAAATGCAAAAATAAAAATTTAAAACGAATTATCAAATAAGTCCAATGTAAAAGCCTCTAATCCTGCAAGCATATCTTATGGCTTGAGACTTGCAAGCAATGTTACACTTTAGACAACTTTCCAACTATAATTGTGTTGGTTCATCAACATCAACTTTGCATCTTTCTCTCTCTCACTCATACACAAATTTTAAATGAGAATCTCCCATCTCTAAGTCATTCCATCCAACTACCTCTTACAAAACATAGGTGCAGCTTTTTCCCTCTCCAACCAACTACCTTTCCTCTCTCCTATACACATTTCTTCACATGTACACTCCATAAATAAAATGTGCCAATCTTAATTAATGGAACCATAATCTCCATGGATTTTTTCCTGCTTTTTAGATTATTTCAAATGAACGGGCTTTTTAGGTTATTTCAAATGAACGGACAAGACAGTTGACCTAATAGTTCTTGTAATTATCCCTTGGGATAATAAGAAGATCAAGGGTTTACGATTTGAGGTGAAGGAGCAACTGTGATCCTTTCATTGTAATCTAATTAACTAACCTACTGATATTCTATTATTTGCCTAAAAAAAAGATTATTTTAAATAAAATAATAAGAGTATCTTCATCAGACATACACATTTAGAACATTTTAAAATTTTGTCTAACTTTATCACAAAATGAAGCTCCAATAAGATAGACAATATGGGGAGGTATTATACTTAAAAGAGTTAAACTTTTATCGAAATTTCATTTTAGTTACATTATTTTTAATTGTGACAGTTGATTCAATTATACTTTAAGTTACCATTTCGATTTTTCATTAATGAAACTAATAAAAATTGACAGACAAATTTGACATTAACTGCATAAACGACATGGAAAGTGTGAATTACCAAATAATATGTCAAGTAGATAAGAAGTTATGTACTATTGTTTAAGTGATGTTAATGTATTTTATGCATTTGTTTTATGTGAATTAAATGCATCTAATAATGCTTATTAGTGTAGAAGTAGTTGCTTTAGTGAACAGCGAATTTGACCGATTAATTTGTCAATCTTACCGTTTTGCCCTCAATTGGTGGATTCCACTTAGGGGGATGGATTATATGTTGACACCATTGATTCCATCACAAGATAAGCTTTTTTATATACAGAGAGAGAGAGAGAGAGAGAGAGAGAGAGAGAGAGAGAGAGAGAGAGAGAGAGAGAGAGAGAGAGAGAGAGAGAGAGATTGATAATTTCTTTTTGATAAACCTTGGGTAAAAATTAGTCTGTGAGCATCAAAAAAAATTACAAGAAAATGATTAAAAAAATACATGTAATTATGTAGTAGTCTTATGTGTTTGGTGGAAAGATTTGGAAAAAAAATTTAGAAACGGAAAGAGAAAAGGTAGGTGAAATATGAATAAAATATACTTATATTTCATATAGTTTCACACACCTTTTCTTTTTTCTTTTTCAAATCTCTTCCTAAATCTTTCAACCAAATACAATATTAGAGTATCATGTAACATTTCTTACATAATATTCGAAATCAATTACGTAACGAAATTTTTTACGAGTAGAATATATTGATTTACTATTATAGGTAGATGAGAAACGAATGATGACTTATTTAGTGTGTTATAATTTTCTGTTGGCCAAAATTATTACATAGATAATAACATATGATACTTTAAAAATATTTAATAATTTTTCAAAAAACAAATTGTGGTGCCCACTTCACATGCATAAAGAAAATAGTGAGGTTTGCCTGACATGTGATGATACTTTTTTCTTAATTTTCAAGGTTCGTATAATTTTTTTTACTTATTATTAATTGATAGGAGATTATTTAGAAATATCAAGAGAATCAACTGTATAAAAAAAATTGTAAAAACACATACTCACAAGCTTAATACCAACACTTACAATATTGATGTAATAAAGAGCCTTATTTTAGTAAAGAAACAAACAAACAAAAATTTGATAATCAGGTGTTCGGATTAGTTTATGCGCACATCAACTAATCTTGAGACCTACGCAGAGTGCCTCCTCCATATGAATCGGGCAAATCTCAGACAGAGCCCGCGAGTGTGGTCTCAAAAAATTGATAGCACCAAGTACGAGTTGAACCTAAAACCTAGAGAGAATACATCTCGAGCCCCAAACTGCACACCCACTAAGCCAACTCCTTTGGATTAAAAATAAATAATCAATGACAAGTATCTCTTGATAGATAAGGAATAAACAATTATACATAATGATCAGGGGGATTTACGTGTAAATTTTAATAAGTGGACTTAGGTTATGTTTGGCATGTTGTTTTGGGATTATTTTAGTCACAAAAAGACAAAATAGGTTAAAAAATCAATAAGACAAAATATCACATCTAAATTATAATCGTTTTATTTTTTCTCTCACAAAAGTCACAAAAAATCAAAAAAACATCTCATTCGAGGCTTTTTAACCCATGCTAAAATAGTCAAAAAAACTAAAAAGCCAACCCACATCCAGATAAAGGCTTATTATCCAATACTTGATGAGAATTAAGTTTAATAATTAATACCTATCGATAACTTACCCAATGATTAATCTCTGAACTTTCAGTTTGAAAGTATACAAGTGATCAATCGCTAACCCAATTAATTTCGGGTTAGTAGACTTGTCATATGAAAAAATGGAAAATAGCCAATCACCAGCAATCTGTTTCCCTTATTCCATGTTTGAATTGGTACCCCACCAATCCCATGCATTATATAGATAACCACCAGACATGCAAGTGATTAGTGCGCGCTCTCTCTCTCTCTCTCTGTAAGATCTGTTTTGTGGGACTGGTTGCTGTTTGTGAATTTTGTGGTTCTGAAAATGGGCAGGAAATGCTCACATTGTGGGAACATAGGTCATAACTCAAGGACTTGCACCACTCATAATAATCAAAAAATAACTCTTGTTGGTGGTCTTAAACTCTTTGGAGTTCAACTTCATATATCTTCCTCTTCTTCTTCTATTGCTATGAAGAAGAGTTCAAGCATGGATTGCTTTCCAGCTTCATCATCAACACCATCTTCATCTTCTTCTTCTACTACATCTTTGCAGCTCCTTTCCACTGATGAAAATTCTGCTAAGATAGCACCTAACGGGTATCTCTCTGAAGGGCTTGTCCGGCGAACTCAAGAGAGGAAGAAAGGTGAGTTTGGATTAACTTCTCTTTTACTTCATGTTGTTCGTGGTCTGATTTCCATATCTATCTATTTAGAACTGACTCGACCATCAGATCACTTAGCCTGTCATTTTTAACCTACAGAGAAAATCTCAAAAAATTATCGTTACTCAAGACCCTAATTTTTCAAAGCTCCAACAAGATAACGTTTCATTTCAATGTTTAGCTTAGGGTCTCAAAAAATTTCAGGCCACGACAGCCCCCCCCCCCCCCCCCTCTCTCTCTCTCTCTCTTCTTGTTCTCTACTAATGGCCAATGATAAGGTTTCCTTTTTATCTTTTTATTTTTTCCATGTATTGTTGATCTACTCGGCTAATCCTAACCTTCTATTGCTTTTTTGATAAATCATTCTGTGATTCATTCTATGTTTCTAACATTGCTATAAAAAAAATTAAAAAAAGATGACATCAATATCATTGGAATCATGGTGGACACTTAAGATATTGTTTGTTTTAAACAGCACATTTTCTCAGCTTAAATACTGATCTATTGTTTTTGGTGATGAAAAAAATTGGGTTAGGTGTACCATGGAGTGAAGAGGAGCACAGGATATTCTTAGTAGGGCTGGAAAAGCTTGGGAAAGGAGACTGGAGAGGCATATCCAGGAACTTTGTCACCACAAGAACTCCTACCCAAGTTGCCAGCCATGCCCAGAAGTATTTTCTCCGACAAATCTCTCTTCAAAAAAACAAACGCCGTCCTAGCCTATTCGATGAGGTACCACCAGTCCCATTTTAATTAACATTTTGTTTGTTTTTGACAGAAAATATTTTTTTATAAATAAAATGTCTACCTCAAAAAGTAAGTTTGTATTTGGTTGTGAGCTGAAAATGATTGCACTAGTAGTTGTGGCAGCCATAGTGTGAGGAGGCATAGGGTTGTGGTATTGGTGTCATTGATAAGATTTTAGTGTCGTTAAGTTTTGAAACGCATTTTAAGATTGATTCCCTGAAATTTATTATCACTCTCTCTAGACCTAACTTTGGGGTGACAGTTACACATATACTCTTGATTCACCAAACCAAATCTTTTAAACATGGGGTTGTAGTATTGGTGGTGTTGATAATACTCGAGTCTCATTAAATTTTGGACATTTTCTCCAATAAAAATGCAAAAACGGATTTTTTGCCCAAATCAATTCATTTTCATTGATCATGATTTTTTTTCATTGTGGATTTGTTTTCTATTGTACCAAATGCTATAGAAAATGGAAAATGTTTTCCATCAAAATTAGTGGAGCATTACTTTAAGTACGAATTTATTTTCCATCACAAATCCATCAATTTTGAATCCTAACTGTTGATGTTGATGTTATTGCTAACAAGCATGAGTTTTCTCTCACAGTCACAGAAGACAAATGGTTGTTATGTGATGGATTTCCACTCTCATGAAGAACAAGCAAGCAAAGCAAGCCAACCTTCAATGCCTGTTTGGCTGCATGGTTCAATATTTGAATCCCAGACAACTGTTGAAAATCAAGCACCTGATCTAGAGCTTAAACTTGCAGCCCCAAGGCCGCTGAATCAACAAAGCAAATCACCCAGTAGAGGTGCTGGCCTTTTTGCTGGACCAATCAGTGTGGTCTAGAAAAAAAAAAAAAGATCATGCAGAGCCAAGGCAGAAATGTATGGGACATCCTATTCTATACATACATATATTTCATAAATATGTGAATGTATGGGTTTTAAAAGGGTATGATACATGTGTGAATGTTCATGGTGAAGGTCTCATGCCTTTGTCCAAGAAAGAAACATGAAATAGTTGAAAATGTGGCACTGGCAATGTATAAGGGAACTCAATTTTATCAGGAAAATTTTCATTTCATATTATGCAAAGTTGTGTTTCCATGACTTGTTCACTTCTAGGATGTTTCGGATGTCGTGGGAATCTAGCTCTCCCTCAAAATCCTTGTCCTCCTAGTATCCAATGAACCTTCTAGCTGCATGATGAATTTTGAAACTCTGAAAATTTTTGAGTTGGATACAGATGTTTGGTGTATCAAACTTGAACCATGGGTCATTTACAAGATCAGAGCTTGGACATTGATTTTCTGCACATAATTTGTTTGAAATTAGTTTGGAAAATGCTAGCATGGCTTATAATAAGCCTGAGTTGTTAAAATAAGCCAACTGTTACTTGGCTACTCTTGTTCCTGCCAAAAAGTCAACTTAAGCCACTTAAAAAAGTTATCAGAAAAGTAAAAAAAAAACTTCAAAATATGCCAAAGGAACTAGCTTTTTCAAGTACTAGCTTACTTGTGGGCTTATCTTAACCCAATAAGCTAGCTTATAATACCAAAGGAGATCCCTAGTATTGTTGTTGATTAATTTCAGTTGATGAGTCAAAGTGATAGTTGATTGATTTCTCAACCTGCACGCCAAATTTTTGTCTCCCTATTCCAAAACAAATATTTTCATTTATTTCTTGAGATTCTTGTTTCTCAAAATTTTCACATGATCTAATGGGCTTGGAGACGGTAGATTCTTACTCCTTCGAGTAGGTTTGAACTATCCTTAATTAATTGTGCTTCTATACAAATAAGCAAATTAATAGATACTGTGCTCTCGTCTTTCATCAAAACTAGGTTTGTTCAACATCTGAATCCTCTTTGGGTGAAATCAGGAGTAATGTGATATGAACTATTTGGGCAAAACTCAACCTTGAAAATTGAATTGAGAAAAGATCCTATTACTATCACTCTAATCATCCGAGCAGTTCATAACAATAAGCAAAAAGAGATCTGTAAGCAAGAAAGATCCTATTGTTATCACTCCATTGCATTTTCAGAGTATTTGCAACTGAAAATAATAAGCAGTTGAGCCAAAGGTTAACAAACCTGGTAACTGTTTTTTGTGAGGGCTTGAAATTTCCGGAAGGTAAGATTTTCTTCATCGGAGATTCCAGAAGCTCAATCTGTTGATCCACAGGAACAGCTTCCCGAACTTCATCCACCAGAAAAGACCAGTCCCTCTTGCCTATTTTCGTGTAGTTGAAAGCAGACATTGATAAGAAATCTCACAGGTGCTAATGCTATGGTTATAATCAAAACACCGAGTGTCAAATAGGGAAAAGAAGTTGAGGTACCAAGAAGGCGGCAGACATATGCTTTGACATCAAATTCTTCCAACTGGTCCATATGCTCTCCAGTTCCAATAAATATTACAGGACTCTTTGTTGTCACAACACGGAAAAAATAAAATGCTGACAACTTTGGAGATCACAAAACATTAAGGTGATCAACTAATAATGCATTCCTTTTTTAATTTTAAAAAAATAGCGGGAATTAGTTTTTCTCAAGCACTATAAGCTAATAATTTGGTAACAAGCACAGCCCCAACAGAAACATTTTGTTTAAGTGCTTCAGCTTGATCAAATGCAGCTTGGCCAATACAGGTATCCATAACAAACACAACAAGATCTGGTCTCTGGAAAAAGAAAGCAGATTCTTTTATGTTTTTTATTTTTCTTACACACGATACATTTGAATGACAAGTGCAACGAAAAAAGGTGAAAGAAGGTTAAATTGGAATTTTAAAAACAAGCCAATTACCATTGCTCCAAACACTTGTTGCATTTCTTCAAAGAGAGCAAATTCCTTTGTGCTGCCTGCTCATGTCAATGATAATAAGGTCATGGTTTTCCTTCTTAAACCTTTCAACACCTACCACAGCTATTTTGACAGGATCTGACCCCAAATATATGTAACAAAAACCTTATCATCGTCACGTAATGTGTAAATGAGAAGTTAATGCAAGAATGAGATCTTTTTATAGACGCAACTAAATATGTTTGACATATATTGACATTTCCCTTCCCTCATATTCCACTAATGAATTCAGATGCATGAACTCGAACATCCTCAATTGCATACTTGTGGTGGTAAAACAGAGGTATGTACAGAATTATACAAGTTTCACTCAATGTGATCAAATTTCATATATTTAGCACAATGCATCTACTTTTAGATTATTTCATTAGTGGTATGGATTGAATTCTACAACTAAACATTAGTCAGGAAGTCATTGGAAAAAAATTAGAGACACTTTTTCCTTAAAGCAATGATGCAAATGCATGATATCCTATTAATGATTAATTGCCCAAATGTCAGCTGAATTTAGAAAACCTTATCATCGTCACGTAATGTGTAAATGACAGGATCTGACTCCAAATATATGTAACAAAAACCTTATCATCGTCACGTAATGTGTAAATGAGAAGTTAATGCAAGAATGAGATCTTTTTATAGACGCAACTAAATATGTTTGACATATATTGACATTTCTCTTCCCTCATATTCCACTAATGAATTCAGATGCATGAACTCGAACATCCTCAATTGCATACTTGTGGTGGTAAAACAGAGGTATGTACAGAATTATACAAGTTTCACTCAATGTGATCAAATTTCATATGTTTAGCACAATGCATCTACTTTTAGATTATTTCATTAGTGGTATGGATTGAATTCTACAACTACACATTAGTCAGGAAGTCATTGGAAAAAAATTAGAGACACTTACACTTTCTGCAATGTTAATTCATTTCCCTTAAAGCAATGATGCAAATGCATGATATCCTATTAATGAGTAATTGCCCAAATGTCAGCTGAATTTAGAATGCTCAAGTGGGGTCTTTACAAGATCCAAAAAGCCAAAAAATCCATTACCGTTGCATCGTACCTCTGTACATCTAAGGTATATGGGAAATATAATCTCCAGTAAACATAATGACAGTACCTTCCGTGATATGGTATTCTGGCCTCAGCAGAATTTTTCTCCAACTGATCAAATGCGCCAGCTCTAAATGTATTAGCACAAACTAGAGCCAGTTTCCAACCTTTCTTTTGATGTTAATGAGCATATTTGGTACATGTTGTGGTTTTACCAGACCCTGAGATTGTAAACATCAATTAGTGGAGGCATAGGCCAAACCTACCAATATGAAATGCAGACTGCAGCTAAATCAAAATAAGATAAGTCAAATCTAGTAAAAGAATGATATTGCAGAAATTGACATTACCTTGTAAAATGATGCTAGTTTTCCTTTTTCCAGAAGTGAAAGATGGCTTTCCAGGATCCAACATTCTGCATAGCTCTCGAAAAACAGTCTGTAGGTAAAGTAGAGCCACTCTTAGACTAGCGTAACAGCATAACAACAATAAAGCAAGGGCTGATTATTGAGCATAGACGTATAATTATGTTTTGGCAAAGAGGCTTGAGATGAAACAAACAATAAAACTGGAAAACTAAGAAGCCACTTCTCATGGTCTGATTAACTAAATCCATAACAAATAGTGTTGGACAATCTTCACTCTAATTAAATTAATTAATTCTGTTTGGATACTAAATAATAAACAAAATATAAAAGAAAAATGGGAAAGGAGAGAGAACGTTTGATTACAAGAATCAAACTAGAAATAGAATTAAATAAATAAAAATAAATTTTATTTTGTTATAAAAACAAAATTAAAATCTGATTTAAATAAATAATAAAAACAGAAAATAAATAAATAACTTACTTGATTAATATCTTAAATATTATTCTGATCAAGTCCAGTGTTTGACACTGTGTCCTTAAGACAAATTCGTCCTCTCCACGGTGCTTTCAGAATATAGACGTCTATCTCCCAAGATGAATTGATCAACAACAAATAAATGCAGCACTACAATTTATTTGTTCAACGAACACACTAAGTGTTTACACTCTTTCTCACAAAAATTAAATGTAGCAAAATGAAGATTAAATTTGTAGAGGAGAAGTACGAAATTTCTGAATATAAACATCAAATGAGGACTGCCTATTTATAGATATAGTGGTGGTTATTGATTTTGAATTAAACAGGTGCAAACCTGTTTTGAACAGGTATGAAACCTGTTTGGTTTTGAATTAAATAGATATAAATCTATTGGATTCAAAATTCAAACAGATAAAACCGTAGGGACCTGTTTGGGTGTAGAGAAAAACCGAAACAGATTAATTTAAATTCTGGGATAGATTTTATTTCAAAAAATAAAATTAAATCCAAATATTTTTTACTCAAAAAGATTAGTATTGGGCCGAACAAGCCCAACCCAACCACACACCCGCGCCCAAGCCCAGCTCGCCCGACCGGTGACGACGGCGCGCGCGGTGATTTTCGGGTCCAATGGGTCTAGCCCATTTTGCCCATAACCTCCCTCTCTACAAAACTTGGGTATCCCTTGGGGCACACCCCAAGGTCCAATCTCATGCCTTATAAACCCACTCAAAACTTTCCACCAAATCAATGTGGAACAAGCCATTTTTCAACCTTAAGGAATTTCCACCAAAACTCCATTTTCATGGAGGTCACTTTGACTTCAATTTTCCATTCACCTGATAATGGTTTTCAGCAACCAAATATACCACGTGAATCACAACGCGGCATAGAACGCGTTACCACTTAGACCAGCCAAATTTGACGCTCAGGTCTCACTTAAATAATGGACCAAAGTTAGGAAAAAATTCTGTTTTTATCCAGAATTTTTCAACCATTTCCAACAATCCCCCACATAAATGGAATTTGATGACAACGGAAATGCAACAATATGCAGACTTTATCAAAAGAGTATAAGTTGAAAA